GTCCCAGCTACTTGGGAGGCGGAGGCAGGAGACTCGCTTGAGCCCAGGAGTTGGAGGTTGCTGTGAGCATGATGCCATGGCACTCTACCCAGAGGGATAGCTTGGGGCTCCGTCTCAAAAGAAAAAACAAACAAAAAAGAAGCCTACAACTTTACTTCATAAAGAGGTCCCTAGCATTGGGAGGAACAAAAGGATTGCTGATTCTAACCTGTGTGGCAACTACCAGGACTTGAGTACCAGAGGTCAAGGCTCTGGGGAATGCAGGGGTGGGGATAGCCACAACACCTTGGCACCACATGGCACATGCAAATGGGACAACATAGCAGAAACAACCCAGGGGTAGTATAAAGGTACGTGGGTGTCTTCCCAGCTACGTTAAGAGCAGAAAACTCAACCTAATGGCACAGCACACCGGCAGACAAAATGCCTAGCAGGAACACACAATACCTGGCTGCACTGGAAGCAGATGATCCTGTGGGCAGGTGCTGGGGTCCCAGGTGGGAGAGGCTGGAGTGGTAGAGGGTATGGCTCCCCAAGATGGGAGGGGCCCCACCCCAGGGGTTGGTGGTGTTCAGCCTAGGTGCAGACCTAGCCCCAGAGAGTGAGGGTTTGTTGTAAGGGGCAAAGGCCTGGTGGGCCCCATAGACAACAGCAGTCCTATGGGGGGGCTGAGGGACAGGGTATGCAGGGAGATTGGTCATGGAGTGACGGTAGCGGCCTGACACAGGGCCAGTTCCGCTGCCACTGAGGCACTGGTGGCAAGAGCAAGCAATTCCCGTGTGGCCTAGTGAAGCAATGACAGTGGTTATTGGGTAAGGGGGTCCTGCTTGGCGCCGCACATGACGACAAAAGTTGGAAGTCTTATTGGTTTGCAAGTGGGTGGCATAGTTGACAGTGTAGTTGTATCCCAGGGGAGCCAAGTCCACAAGCTGGTTGCCCCTAGCCACTTGCTGCTCCAGATAATCACAGACACTGGCTTCATAGGCAACCCAGGAACCATCATCATTCAGCCACTCCCAGATGACACCCTGGCCTGGGGCTGAGTGCTGGGGGAACAGGTGCCTCCGCACGGCCCGCATGGTACCTGTTTGAAAGGAATATTATACACAGTTAATCTATTAGCCCCCTCTAAAACACAGGGGATTTTCAAATTCTTTTTTCAACAACAAAAATAGCAAACATGATCACCGCATATGTACAGTCATGATGCTATTTCATCCAAAGCTGGCACTAGCTCTTCTGTCCAAATTTAGGGGTAAAGTATAGAGAAACTCTAGACCAGCGGTTTTCAACCTGTGGGTCATGACTCACAGGAACTGAATTAAAGGGCCGTGGCATTAGGAAGGTTGAGAACCACTGCTCTAGACAAAGAAACTATGGCCCAAAAGGATCAAGTGGCAGAGGGAGACCCATACTACATGGCAGGAGGAGAAGTTGGAAGCTTAGGTCAAAGAACATGGCTTAGACTTGATGAGTCTTTTTAAATAATATTTCTAATGATGTGACTATATAACCTCACTTTAAAAAATTAAAAACAGGCCAGGCGTGGTGGCTCATGCCTATAATCCTAGCACTCTGGGAGGCAGAAGCAGGTGGATTGCCTGAGCTTACCAGTTTGAGACCAGCCTAAGCAAGAGTGAGACTTTGTCTCTACTAAAAATACAAAAACTTAGCCAGGCATTGTGGCAGTCACATGTAGTCCTAGCTACCCTTGAACCCAGGAGTTTGAAGTTGCTGTGAGCTAGGCTAATGCCACGACACTCTAGCCTGGGCAACAGAGTCAGACTATCTCAAAAACAAATAAATAAATACACACATAGAAAGAAATATAAAGAAAATTAAACCATCCCAATCCAACCACCAAAAGGAAAGCACATAATTTACACTGCAGTGCATTTCTTCTCATGTAATCTTCTAGGCACGTGTGTTTAAGGAGCTAAAAGAATGAAAATGTTTTCTGCTATTTTCTTGTACAATGCCATAAGCATTCCCTAAGTCTCTAAAACTTTGTAAAACTTGGCTCGGCACCTGCACCTCAGCAGTTAGGGCACAAGCCACATGCACTACAACTGGCAGGTTTGAACCTGGCCCAGGGCCTGCCAAACAACAACTACAACAAAAAAAAAAATAGCCAGGCCTTGTGGGGCGCCTGTAGTCCCAGCTACGTGGGAAGCTGAGGTAAGAGAATCTCTTAAGCCTAAGAGTTTGAGGTTGCTGTGAGCTGTGACGCCACGGCATTCTACTGAGGGCAACGTAGTGAGACTCTGTCTCAAAAATAAATAAATAAATAAATAAACTTTGTAAAACTCTATTGTTACGTAATTCGATACAGGGGTAGCAGTCTTTTCACTTCTAAAGTTACAACTACTGCAAAACACGCTATCTTCAGTTTATATTCTTTTGTGTATGTGTTTGACAGAATCTCACTCTATTGCCTGGGCTACAGTGCAGTGGTATAATCATAGCTCACAGCAACCTCAGACTCTTGGGCTCAAGCTATCGTCCTGCCTCAGCCTCCCAAATAGCTGGAACTACAGGTGCATCCCACCAGGCCCAGCTAATTTTTCTATGTTTTGTAACAATAGGTCTCACTCTTGGCTCAGGCTGGTCTCGAAACTCCTACCTCAGCCTCAGCCTCTCAGAATGCTGAGATTACAGGTGTGAGCCATTACTCCTTGCCCTTAGCTTATATTCTTTTTTTTTTTTTTTTGAGACAGAG